CTGTCAGTTGCGACTGGTCAGGTCAAGGCTGAAACCCAGAAAATAGGCAGTCCAAACCCTTTCGAAAGATAAATAAAGACTGGCTGACAGGAAATCAGCATGCCTATCTAAAGCGTTGTATGGTATTATATGAGGTTACCGGAGGCTTCCTTTACAAATCGCTAGCACTTGGTATCCCCTCCGATGTTGCGGGAGTCATTGGGTGCCGCCGATTGCTTACCATCAGGTGATCCATCTGATCTTTTGGCCCCTACTATCGATAAGATATCGTCAGTTGAATTTGCTTAGTCGTTAAAACTTAGGTCATATGACTTTGTAATGAAAATAGATTTCTGCTAGCAGTGAAGGACTATAAACTACGTTAGCGCCACCTAGTGAGTTCAAAAATGTTGGCCTTGGTTCTTGGCGAAAATTATGGAAATACCAAGGTCATGTGAATGCAATCGTAGACTTTGAAAGCAAATCTGCTTGATTTTTGAAAGGGAGTTGTCTCTTAATTCCAATACCCACCGTATTTTATTAAACTGGTTAACTACCCACTATATACTTTACTGAAGTGTGCTTCAGTATGTATAAAGTTAGTCTTTATTCCCCTGTGATATGGTTGCTTTTTATACGAGCAAATATTTCTATGTCGAGTATTCCCAATTTACATATAATAGAGCTGATTTTTCTATGAATATTCATCACATTCTCAATGTTATATAGGTAACTAGAGCCGAGCTGCTGTAGTAACCCATGTATTAGAAGTAATTTTATAGTATGACCCAGATGTTATGACCCCACAAAACGAAATTATGTAAACAGTTCTAAAGGAAGTAAGCGGTCTTTTAATCCAAAGTCGTTGGCTTGGTCCAGATTTTTGACAGTAACTCTACAGGAGTAACATCTAAAATCGACCTTGATGCAAAGACTTTGGATTGAAATCAGTTAATTAATTTCGGCTTTTTACACCGTGAAATCTATTTAGTTATTGTCCCGCGACAAAACAACTTGCCATAAGGAGTATTTTCGATGTAATAAGTAAAAACATAATCATAAAACATGAAACACTAGATGTAAAGTAGGCATTGTTCGCATCGCACGTACCACCCGGCGAGGAATACCTCTTCGAGAATGACATGGCGTGGTGTTTTGATAATGTACTATGAGTTCGTATGCGCTTTCGAAGTTTGCTTTTTGCATTGGTTCACCAGATTTTATTTCTGGTATTGTAATTTTCGTGAGACATGCTAAATAAATTATTATGTTTTCGGCTTACTCACGTAATAATTTGGCGAGGAACTCGACTAGTTACTATATTATTGAATTAAGAATATGAGCCACTAGCGTGGCTTGAAACTAGTCGAGTTCCTCGTCAAATTATTACGTGAGTAAGCCGAAAACATAATAATTTATTTTATATCTTTGCAAAACCTATTGTATTTTAGGGAACAGAGTGTATAGTTCCCTAAGATCGGAAAAGGAGGATCCTCCGACCAGGCGAGGTGATCGTGCCTGGCGGGCTTTCTGCCCAACAGTTGTTCGTTGGGATTTTCTATCTGTGTTTATTCGTTTGTAAACTTTGCATGTGCGATGTAGGATTCTTGTGACGTCATCCGTTGACATGTGGCATGCGTCGCCACATCACTCCCTCCCCGCTGAGACGGCTGTCGATGCTTGAGATGAGTGGCGCCAGAGCCAGTGTAGAACGTCCCTAGTTCCAGTGGGTCGGAACCGTGCCGCTGAGTGCCCAGTGAGTCGGGTCAGCGGTGCAGGGTGAAACTCCAGTGAGTCGGAGAGATGCGTTCGCAGTGTCCCACGGTGAGTCGGGGAAGAGATGCTGCGAGGGTAGGTGCGTAGTGGCCGGCATCTGCGTTGACGGGAGGAGGTGTCCTTCAGACCGTGTGCAGAAGTGCTGTGCCTAGACGCTGGTGAGGCCGTAGGGAAGAACCAGGCTGCACAACTTCGTTGCAGGTGATGGTGGTCCCTGATGAGGCCGAGGATGCTGGTTGGCTGCGACTTGATTACCGCTCAGCGGAGAAGTGATGAATGAGAGGGATGGCGATACGGATGACGGTGCTGATCAGCTCCGTGAAGTGAAGGTTGCTTCCAATCACGTCGGGGTCACCACTTTAGGGAACAGAGAGTATAGTTCCCTAAGATCGGAAAAGGAGGATCCTCCGACCAGGCGAGGTGATCGTGCCTGGCGGGCTTTCTGCCCAACAGTTGTTCGTTGGGATTTTCTATCTGTGTTTATTCGTTTGTAAACTTTGCATGTGCGATGTAGGATTCTTGTGACGTCATCCGTTGACATGTGGCATGCGTCGCCACAGTATTACCAAGACAGAACCATTTTACTTCGGGACGAAAACGAAATAGATTTCACGGTGTTTGATTGACTATGGACTATAAACAAATGAACAGATGAAGCGAACTTTTTAGTAACAATTTTAGTTTGTATTAGTTTACATAAGTTTTATATGGTAAGTATTTGTATTATTTTAGTAATGTCAACGTTGTTTGGTGTGGCAGAGTGAGTGAAGACTTTCCACCTTGTTTAATTTGTGAGAAACACTACAAAATGAGACTTTGTTCGTTCAGTTTAAGATTCATTTTGTTTTAGCGACTTATGGTGCTTTTAAAGGTCTTATTTTTTTGACCAAAACGTATTCTATAAATTCTATTAAGACATATTATGTTTATGAATATTCTAAGTTGTATCTTATTCTAATGAGATTACGTAATATCAACATAATTACTCGAGGAGATGCTCTGCTCGATTCATGGCATCATAGCCTCCAGCATGAGACCTCCGGTCGTGGGCGAGAATATCAGATTCTTACTGAGTAAAAACCGCCCCGTTCCGATTCCTGCTCCAAACCAGGATCTCTTAACTTATTGCACTTCGCCCGTAATCTCGGGTCTTTTCAAAACCTGTTAACCGCCGCTTAGGTCGCTGTGACCGGCGACATCAACAGAGGATTTATCTATAACAGTTTTCTGTCGGTAGATGTGACTTGTTTGCACTACGCTAGTACTTTATTCTCGCTCGCTTCTGTCCCAAAATCGAAGCGAGAAAGAGCTACTAAATACTCGCTCGGTATTAAAGACAAAAGTATTACTGGGTTTTAAAAAAAATCTCAGTAGTAGCAGAGGAGTCTAGAATTGTGTCCGGTATATGACAATAGCCTCACCCCCTATTACATGGGAGTCAATATAAATAGTAAAAAGTAAGTGTAACATTGTACAGTGGCATTAAGTGCCGTTATGTGCACCTTCGGGGATAAAAGGCGTGATATGATATTATGTATGTGTTAAAGACAAGTTTTTGTCTCACTCTGTCACTACCAACAGCGGTTAGTTTTATACCTCTCACTGAAGTCTCTATAACACACCAAGAGATATGTTAGTCATGTTTTTAAATATAATTTGTTTTAATTTTACTTAATTTCTGTCTAGTTTATTGTATGTATGCGTTGCTTTGTTGTTTGTGTTTATAATTAAAGTGTTGTGAATTATTATTTGTTTTGTCTTTTCTTTTTTTTTGACTTTTTGATATAAATATTTAGTTTTCATTATTTTTTTGTGTAGTGGCATTAAGTGCCGTAATGTGCCACCTCTGCCTACCCTTTCGGGGTTAAAGGCGTGATGTTATGTTATGTTATTTAGTTTTAAAAATATTAGTCTGATCATTAATATGACACGTTTTCCGGGAGTTTGAAAATCGGCAATATTGTAGGTTTTGATGTGCTCTTTTGTATTTCATTTTGCACCTTTGTATGTGCGCCACATACGCCGCTATCTTGGAAAAATGGCGGTCAAAACCGTTTTTTTAAATATCTCTTTTCCTGTGCACTTTACAAGAAAACCGTTAACTACAAAATTAAAACCAATTGAGTCTGACATAAGAGAATGTCAGACTCTTGCCTAGCGACTGCTTGACGTCGCGGAGAACCTAACGGGTAACCGGGGCTCCGGCTCGACGTGCAGGAGAAGGAACGGGGCGGTTTTTAGTCAGTAAGAGTCTGACACGCCCTTTCGCCTCACCCAGGCGGGAGCAGTCATTCGATGATTTTCCCCCTTAAATAAAATAAATAAAAAAAAGCGACTGCTTGACCGCATGCTGAAATGATGAAATGTCGACTCGAATCAGTTGCAACTGCTCGGGTAGTCCGTGTGTGCACATACATAGAAGTCTGTAATTCACTATACAGTCGCAGCTTAAAGCAGTCGATCATTGCTTTAAGCAGTTCGTTTATGGAACCTATTATTGGAAGCAAGTATAACAGCTCACACATACGACCCACTTAGTTTTTAGTCAGATTTCCGTGGTGCTTGGCGACTGGGCTTCACCCAGTTGTACAGTCTCTTTTTTGTGCCTTCAGGCTTAATTCATTCTGTTTCCTTTAGTAATTTACCGAGGGAAGTGGAAACTATAATTTTTTACTTCTCCTCTTATAATATCTTCTGATTCACTTCGTTGCGGGAACCAAGACAGTTTAACGGATATACCAACGCTGAAAAATGTTATAATTATCTTGGGTCGATATTTATATATTTTTTTCTTTATTTGCTAGAATGTATTGTACTGTTATAGTTGTATGTTATTATACTGTATGTGTGTGTTATATATACTATTATAACGGGCTGGTCTAGTTAGATCGAAATCGATGTGAATCATTTTTTATTTTATGTATGTAAAATCTTTATTATAAATATGTACGGTCAAAGGTCAAAACTCCACTGCCACCGTAAGACTACTATCGGTTGCGCTGCAGCGCTTATACACACATGCACACGCATATTTGTATCCGTGTGCGTACGCGTGCGTGTGTTTATGCATACGCACGCGTTTTTATGCACATTAATATGAAATTACTTACGCATTGCCGTGTGAACATCACTCGCGGTGGTAATGGACTTTTGACCTTTGACTGTACATATTTTTATGTACTATACACACACATATATATTTATACACACACAAACTAACACTCCAACCTGCTGATTGGACGCAGTTTAAAATGCCCGCACTACAACGCATCGGATTGCGGCAGTGCGTCGTATGCGGTACCGGCGCCGATTCTTACTGCGCGGGATGCGGCATCACGCCGTATTGCTCCGACCGGTGCCAGCGCCGCGACTGGGCTGAACGACACAACTCCGTGTGCCATAATCTTGCTAGGTAAGTCTTATCTTTTAAGCTCTAAGTCATTAAGTAAGTTAAGAACAGAAACATCTAAAATCCTACTAATATTTATAAAGGGGTTATCCATAAATTACGTCACATGAATTACATGATTTTTTGCCCCTCCCTCCGTCCTTGTCACAGCTTATCACATTTGTGAGACCTCACCCCTAGTGTGACGTCATTTTGCAGAATTACGTATGTATAAAAATTATTGAACAAAAACAGCGGTCCCGACATCAGTTTTATCTAAAAAAATATTTTAATACCAAATCAAACAAAATAATAAACATTAATACAATTATATTTCGTGTTTTATAATAGTGACATCACAGAGTTTAGGATCCCTCCCTCCCCCTTGTCACACAATGTCACACTTCGTCGACCTCCTCCCTACCCCTTAATGTGTGACCAATTTATGGACGGCCCCAAGTGCGAAAGTTTGTATTTTAGTAAAGTAAGCGGTCGGTAATCGAGCAGATGGATCACCTGATGGTAAGCAATCGGCGTCGCCCATGGACACCTAGAACACCAGAGGCGTTACAAGTGCAAGTGCGTTACCGGCCTTTTGGGGATAAGGAGTTTGAGGATCGTTGGGGATTCAGGAATTGGGGAGATTGGGGAAGGGAAGGGTAATTGGGTCTCTGGTAACCTCACTTACACGACGAAACACAACGCAAGCGTTGCTTCACGTCGGTTTTCTGTGAGGCCGTGGTATCACTCTGGTCGAGCTGGCCCATTCGTGCCGAAGCATGGCTCCTCCCACACTTAAATGTTTGTATGTTAATCCTTGACGGCCAAAACGGTTGGAGGGAGATTTTAGTCGGGAATAACACGCAGGTCACTTTTATCCCACGGGAGCGCGGACACATACGTTGTGGTGGGCTAGAGGCTTAAGACGCCCGCTTCTCATGCATGAGGGCGCGGATTCGAAAACTAGCAACAGAAGAGACTTTCTAAGATTATTCAGACACCACTGACAAACGGTGAATGAAAACATCGTGGGGAAACTTGGACTTATAATTATTTCTATTTATAAGTCTGAAATCGCTAACCCGCGTTGAGCAAGCGTGGTGATTAATGCTCAAACCTTCTCCGTGTGAGAACGCCGGCTCGATAGCAGTGATATCACAGCCGAGCAGAAAATCGACGTGAAACAACGCTTGAGTTGTATTTCGTCGTGTGAGTGAGGTTACCAGTGGCCCAATTATCACCCCCCCCCTCCCCTTCCCCAATCACTCCAATCCCTAAATCTCCAACAATCTTTAAATTCCTAATCCCCAAAAGGTAACGCACTTGTAACTCCTCTGGTGTTTCGGGTGTTCATAGGCGACGTCGATAATCATAATTATGATCTGTCCGCTCGTTTACCGGCTTATCCCATAAAAAATGTTACTGATAAATTAAACAATGCCCCCTTAAAACCATGTCAATGCACTTGTGACTTGGAACTCCTCTGGTGTTGCGGGTGTCCATGGGCAGCGTTGATCGCTTACCATCAGGTGATCTGTCTGCTCGTATGCTATACTTAAAATTTCTGTTTTCTTACTCACAGAATGAAGAATGAGCGAGCCATCCGCAATGTTGCTGACAGCGATGATCCTATGTGAGTATATTTTTGTTCCTAATATGTATTATGTTACATATTTTAACTTAACGTTTATAGTAATACGTCAACTTTTGTTTTTATAATAACTATCGTGAGACATAGTAAATTAATTAAAAATCGCGGGTTACTCACGTGAATATACTGAGAAAAGCTGCTGGTTTCGAACCACAGAGGGGTTCTTCCTCATGAGCAGCGTACGCGATCGCGGCGATGTCGCGCAGCGTACTGAAGGAGGAACCCCTCTGTGGTTCGAAACTAGTAGAGCTTTTCTCAGTCTTTTTTAGATATTGTCAACTTTTATTTATATTATGACTTTCGTGAGGAATTTTTAGTTAATAGGTATGTATTTCTTTTGTTTTAGTGTACCACCAGCTCAACCACTGCGGCGTCCACATTTGAACAATAATTCCAACGCGAGACGAGATACCCAGGACAATGACAACACTTCTGGATTTGTGCCTAAGGTTAGTCTTAATTTTTTTAATTAGGTCTTTATTGTTTCAAGTCTTCGTCACACGATATACTTATTTTAGGGAACAGAGTGGAAAGTTCCCTTAGGATCGGAAAAGGAGGTTCCTCCGACCAGGGGGCTTACTCCTGAATCCAATTCCGATCGATCGACATTGGTATTGTTTTTTTTTTTTTAAACGTTGCCCCACTCTAGGATTTTCTCATGTGTCGTGGGTGCGTTTACAAACATACAAGTTCACATACACAAAGACACCCAGACCCGAAACAACAATTTGTGGATCACACAAAGTGTTGTCCCGTGCGGGAATCGAACCCGCGACACGTTGCACGGCAGCCGGTTGCCCAGCCACCGCACCAACCGTGCAGTCATTGTGAAATTTAGTACTCTCGAGTTGCAACACTAGAACCCATTGCATCCGTATTGCGTGGATATTGAATGAACAAAATGGTATAGAGTTTGGCTTTATATTCCGTACTCTGAATGCTATTGTAACAGCTACGATTGTGGTTGTATAATATTGTCATTGAATAATTATTGAGATTTTATTGGATTGAAATTGCATTGATATTGAGGTTGGTTTCAAGAGTAAGCACCCAGGGGCCTTAGTATGCTATTTCAATTGTGTCAGAATGGCAAGAGGGACGGAGCTATTAGGTTGTATAGCTCCGTCCCTCTTACACTGCTCAATGATCGACCATTCTGACACAATTATAATACATAGTAGATTAAGACCCCAGGCGAGGTGATCGTGCCTTCTGCCCAACAGTTGTTTGTTGGGATTTTCTATCCGTGTTAATTTGCATGTAAACTTTGCATGTGCGATGGAGGATTTTTGTAACGTCACCTGTTGCCATGTGTCGCCACACCTATTTTGACAGATGACGATAGAGTATACAGGGTGGAATTTTATACTGCCACCAGTAAACTTAAGAGTTAATACTCAAGATAAAAAAAAATACTCAAAGAAAACTTTTATTTTCAAAAAGAAAGAAAACTGCACTCAAATATTTTGAAAATTCGCTTGCCGCACACGGTAATCGAACTGACTAAAATCTGTAAAATGTAGATAGATAGTAAACCCACCAGGTACGATAACCTCGCCTGGTTGGTGGCTCCTTCTTTTCTTAGGGAACTTAACTCACTGTTGCATAAACCTCGACAGGAACGATTTTATCTATTTTTTTGTTGTTTTTTTTTTTAGTCAGTCCATTAGAAGCGGGGTTCACTGTCGGCATGGCACGGCAAATTGCAGTTGTGGCATTATGTTGAAAGTTCAACCACTCTCCCATGGCCGCTGTACAAGTTACAACCTTATTTCAACAAGATTAGATTTGTGGGACGCGCCGGACTTTAGTGTTCCGTTGTTTTCATGGTTCTATCTACTGTAGATTCTGGCTTACAGGAGTTGCAGCGGTTTTGGGAGGTTGTGGCGGGCTTGTCCCTTTAAAAAAGATTAGATTTGCTATCTAATTTAAACCACTCTTGGAAAAAAAGTAAACAATACGTCTCGCGAGATGCAGTGGCGTACTGCGGCAATCTGTAGAATGAAACCAGCTCGACGTGGCACTGTGGTGTGGAAATAATCTAACATGAACTCTAAGGTCATTGAAATTAAAGTCATAATAATTAAATTAGAAATAAAATCCTTGCCGTATCGTCCCGTACTGGCAGTGAGCGTTTACCCCGATAACATAAAAATCTACTTACTGTAATTCTGAATACAAAAACATATTTTTTTCTTATTTTTTATGAGGTAACCCGGTAAACGAGCAAACGGATCACCTGATAGTAAGCAATCGGCGTCGCCGATGGGCACCTAGAACACCAGAGGCGTTACAAGTGCGTTACCGGCCTTTTGGGGATTAGGAATTTGAGGATTGTTGGGGATTGGGAAGATTAGAGAGGGGTAATTGGGCCTCCGGTAACCTCACGCACGCGACGAATCACAACGCGAGCGTTGTTTCAAGTCGGTAATCTGCTCGTTGGTGGTATCAGTCCGGTCGAGCCGGCCCATTCGTGCCGAAGCATGGCTCTCCCACACTTAACTTACCTTTCTTTGCAGGCGAACTCCAAATCCCCCATGAACAACAACAACGATTCTGTCAATAATAATGAGAATAGACAGCGCAAACCAGCACAAAGATCGAATTACGGACGAGAGATGAATACTGGTAAGTATCACTTTAATATCATTCGTTGTTGTTCCCGTCGGGTTAAAAAGTAGCCAATACAGTGCCTTTAGCCAAACGCCACTTTAGCGCTTGTCTACAGAGAGAGTAGAAAACTAAATGTATGGGGATGACACTGACAAGTGTCAAAATTTACGTCAATAGGGTAGTTTCTTAAATTTTATTATAATGTCTGTCTGGTACATTAAGTTTAAACTTTAGACACGTATTTTTGCTTTTCTCACTAAATTAAATACTTTCGAAGATGTATTAATTTGAAATATCGTGTGACGGCACAGCGTGCCACATTTCGTAGCACGTTATTACGTAACGACCTCCCACTCCTATACTTAGTGCTATTTTATCTTAGTATTGCAACTTAATACGAGAAAATAAAAAAAATACGTGTCTAATATGTTTTCATTATCTAACTGACGGACTAATTAGATTTTTAATTTTGATACCCTGGACACAACCCAATTCCATATAATTTGGTTTTCTATTCTACATGTAGACAAGCGCTAAATGGCATTTGGCTACAGCTGCAGGTTGTATATGGAACGTTCCCGAAAAAGGTTAAAAATATAGTATTTCCAATTTTAATCGTCTTTGTTTACAAGACCTTTGCTCAGCAGTAGGTATTATAGGCTGTTGATGATGATGATGTCTAATATTTTTTCATTACCTAACTGACGGACTAATTGTTTTAAGGGGTATAATTGTTGAATGATTTCTCCCGCTTGAGTGAGGCGGGAGGGAGTGTCAGACTCTTACTGACTAAAAACCACCCCGTTCCTACTCCTGCACTTCGAGCCGAAGTCCCGACAACCGTTTACGTTCTCCGCGGCTCCGTAGTGTATTGATAAAGGCAGAAGTTTAAACTTAATTTGTACATACAGGTACTTCGAAGCCTCCCAACAATCGTTTCCCTCACGCCAAACAACATCCAGGTGGTCAAAGTCCTGGCCGGAAACTAAATGGACCCAAAACGTGAGTAGCTATTATTTACTTTTTAGAATAGAATAGAATAGATCATTTATTTGCTATGAATGTAGGTACAAATTATTAGGTGTTACAAAATTTTTAAGGTTCCTTGTACATTCTACCTTAATTGGCATGCATATATACTGTTTTTACCTGTATAATGTTTCTTTTTTATGGGATAAGCCGGTAAACGAGCACGGATCACCTGATGGTAAGCATTCGACGTCTACCATAGACACATGGAACACTAGAGGCGTTACAAGTGCGTTACCAGCATTTTGGCGGTCGGAATTTTAGGATTGTTGGGTATGCAGGGATTGGGAAGATTGGGTAAGGGGGCGTGTAATTGGGCTTCTGGTAACCTCATTCACACGACGAAACACAACGCAAGCTTTGTTTCACGTCGGTTTTCTATGTGGCCGTGGTATCACTCCGGTCGAGCCGGCCCATTCGTGCCTCTCCCACACTTATACTTTGTGTTTGTGTTTACCGGCTTATTCTAGTAGCTGCTTGACGAGGAACTGTTTGTTAGTTTTAAGTTTTTTTTATTTATTTGATTGCATGTTTGAAACTGTGTCAAAATGCTTTTTTATTATTTGCTTTGTTTATAACATGACACCCTATTTTTCCCCGAAAGAGTGTTCAATTTTGTAATTATAAATTTTTATTAAAAAAGTCGGTAACCTTAACTAAACTTGGCTCATCATTGAGACTATAAGTTTATTTAACTCTTTCATTCACTCTTTTAACTGGTTACGAATATATTTTATTTATTTATACTGAAATGCTTAAAAACAAAAGCATAAAAATTTGAAGCATACTTCAAAAATTGAATAGGTTGGATGCCTAATTTCTGTTTTAATGTCCGTCTGGTAGATTATTTTAAATTATTAGACACGGATTTTTTATTTTCTTACGAATAGTTACGAATATTGATTTGAAATGTTGCGTGACGTCACTTCTATGTACATTTTATACGTAGAAATGACGTTTTAGCCCCCACTCCTAAAGTTTGATTCGTTTTATCTAAGTATTGTTTTATTATACGACAAAATGAAAAATACGTGTCTAATATTTTTTCATTATCTAACTGACGGACTAATTAGATTTTTGATTTTCATACCCTGTCATTATACCAGTTTCTTACAAAGGGTGGTTAGCTACAGTGACCACTAAGACTGAGAGAGTTAAAAGTAATGTACATTATTATAATAAGGTTTTGACTGCTAATATAATACTGTTAAAGACAAAACCTCCGCTAAAGTCGGTCACCGATGACCCCATAGCGTGTGTTAACATCACCTATGACATCTGTTTTTTAACCCGACTTCATAAAAAAGGAGGTTGGAGTAGCTTTTTCTAATGAAATAAAAAAATTCACCATTTCATAAGTGGATCTCATTATTATAATGTAGTATTAATTTCGGGGAAAAATTCTGTTATGTTTTCACATTTTATTTTGCGCTTTAGCACTACAGAAACAGCTTCAAAACCCGATATAGCCAAGCCTGAAGTAGCGATGCCTGATGTAGCGATGCCCGAACTACAAAAGAAATCAGAACCATCCAAACCTGAAATAGTTACGCCTGAGCCGCAAAATCCTCTTGTAAAGACACCAAATCAGATGTTTAAACCTGCCAGTGTAAGCGATGTAACGCCAACAAAGAAACTTGTGCCTAAGAAGTGAGTTTCTCTGTTATTTTTAATAATGTGTATATCATACGTACCTACAGCCAGTAGGCTGCGCGTCATCGCCGCGACCGTGCACGCTGCAACTTTTGACGTTTATTCTAGTTTCGCATGTTTTTGTATTGTTTTACTATTTATGCCAGTTGTTGCGCATGTCATATACAGGGTTACAGGTTAAGTCGACCTAGATCCTTTAAGGGGTTTTAGTTTTCATCATTCCTAGCTGATTTGACCATGAAACACCCCACCCCAAACCAACCCATACTGAGATATTGGATTTTGATTATTTTTTAAATAAAATGAAGATTTTTTGTATAATTGACCCTTTTTTCTGATTTTGTGTCACTAATTCATAGTGTTTTTGCTATTTTTGTGTAGCAGATTAGTTTGTTTATTATTCTCAACACAAAAAAAGCAGGTAACTGAACCAACTGGGTAATAGTCGATGATTGACAGATTAAACTGTCAAACACCAAGCGGTCACCGGTGACCGCGACCTATTGTTCTTTAATTGTGTCTATAAAACCGGTACTCGACGAGTTAAAAACTAAACAAATTTGTATAAACATTTTTTTTCTTTTAAGAATATTTCAAAAAAAGTCTATGACAGTTATGCTGCAGATGTACTAAATAATATCTACGTTTCTTTTGCTATCCAACAAGGTATAACAAGCTAGGGTATCATCATGATATTCAGAAAAAAATTCTGATTTAATGCTCTCAGGCAGTAGTAAAACATACTGTACTTAAGGACAAAGTTATCACTTTGTCCTTAAGTACAGTTACTAAAAACAGTATTATTTATTTACATGACGTCAACTGTTCTAAGTATACTCGATTAGTTTCGAATCCCAATCGGGGTTCATAATTCCCGATGAAAATAAAATTACGTATAATCAAATATTAATTCTTTTAACTAAAATCGCGGGTTACTCACGTGAATATACTGAGAAAAGCTCTACTAGTTTCGAACCACAGAGGGGTTCTTCCTCATGAGCAGCGTGCGCGGTCGCGGCGACGTCGCGCAGCTCACTGTCACAATGTATTCACGTGAGTAACCCGCGATTTTACTTAATTTAGTATGTCTCACGATAGTTATTATAAAAACAGTGTTGTTAACAATTATTTTATTTTCTATTTCACAGAACGCTCCTAGATTCTGTAAAAGTGGGTGACCAACTGCTTCTAACGGTGGAAGCTAAAACGGCCGATTCTCGTACAACTCGCGGGGACTTCGTGTGCATGCTCTTCTCGGAAAGTTTCAACGCTGAGTACACGAAGCTCTGCGAAGATTTCATCGTGGATTGCGAGAAGGAAAACCAGAGTGTTAAGTGAGTATATTTATTTATTTTCACTTTGCCCAAAACCAGCTGCAACTCCTGTACCCCAGGATCTACAGTAGATACAACCATGCAAACACCGGAACACAGAGGGCCAAGCACAAATAACTATCGCATTCGTATCGTAACAGTATCGAGCGAGTTATGCGCTCTGATTAGTTGGTTCACTTGAGCCGGCCAATCAGAACGCCGAACGCGCTCGATACTATTACGTTACGAATGCGATAGTTATTCGTGCTTGGCACTCTGAAGTCCAACGTCTCAGGGACATGAATAACTGTCTTAGATATCGCAATGAAATCAATCAGAAGATATTTTTAGAGGAGAAGAAATAAAACAATAGTTAAAAAGATAACCTGACCGAAAGCTATCGGCGCCGCTCATGTACACCAGAAGTGCGTTGTCAGCCTTTTGAACCCGCATTGAGCAAGCGTGGTGAATAGTGCTCAAACCTCTGTGTGAGAGGAGGCCTTTGGTCAGCAGTGGCCAGTTAAAGGATTGAGGTTTGCAGGGCATGGATGCCTCGGTTTTAGTTTCCGCATTGAACGATGCTTTGAACAATTTATAGAACTTTCTATGTATATTACTTACTAGCTACTTCTGCGCGGTTTCACACGTTCTACTCAGCTCCTTATTGGTCGTAGCGTGATGTTTTATAGCCTATAACTATCCTCGATAAATGCGCTATACAACACAAAAATAATTATTTAAATCAGACTTGTAGTTTTGAAGATTAGCGCGTTCAAAAAAACAAACTCTTCCGCTTTATATAATAGTATAAGATTTTCAGTTTCCCCAAAACCACTGCAACTCCTGTGCACCAGGATCTACAATAGATACGACTTCAGTGTAATACGAGGGGGCGAGCCTATATATTGGACACAATTCCAGACTGTGCTACTAATGCGATTTTTTTTACTCAAGCCCAGTAACCCCAGACCTTGCCCGGCAGTCGCACTTACGACCACTCGGCCAACGAGGCAGTGATACTAGTTCCTCGTCAAATTATTACGTGAGTAAATCGAAAACAAAATAATTAACTATTATTTTGTTCACAGACCGACTCCAGGCGAAACAATTTCGTATTTGAACCCCGAAGATCAGGCTTGGTACCGTGGTCGCTGTCTCACTCCGACCGTCCTGGCGTTACTGGACAGTGGCAAGATTGTAACCATATCTGCCGCCGACAAGTTACGGAAACTGCCGAATGCTTACGAAGACATCCCCGAGTTCTCAGCCGTGCTAACCGCTCAAGGAGTTCAGGTAACTTAAATATTTAGCATTTGTAGAAATACATCTGTACAGATAGATAGCCCTTTTTTTTACTGGGGGAAAATCATCGAATTACTTCTACTGCTGGGTGAGGCGGGAGGGAGTGTCAGACTCTTACTGACTAAAAGCCACCCCGTTCCTTCTCCTGCACGTCGAGCCGGAGCCCCGGTAACCAGTTAGGTTCTCCGCGACTCCGAAGATAGATAGACTTGGACTCTGTTTGTAATATTAAAATAATTGCTATGAATATACACTCGATACACATACCAAAATAACATTTTTTACAATTTTTGTCTGTCTGTCTGTTTGTTTGTACTGGCTAATCGACCGATTTTGATGAGAATTCTATTGGCGGGTAGGGATATACTAAGGAGTAATATAGGCTACTTTTATTTTAGGAAAATGCAGACCAAGTTGCGAGTACAACTAGTATTTAATAATATTTTTGTGAAAATCTAAAGGTGTTTGAATGTTCCCTACTCTATATGTGTCTACTGCTGAGCAAATCCTCTTCTCACACGGGGAAGGTTTAAGCATTAATCACCACGCTTGCTCAATGCGGATTGGCAATTTCAAACTTATAATTCTAATTATAAGTCCAGGTTTCCTCACGATGATTTCCTTCACCGTTTGTCAGTGGTGTCTAAATAATCTTAGAAAGTACATATAACTCGGAAAAAGTCACATTGGTACTTGCCGTTGGTAGGTTTCGAATCCGCGCCCTGATAACCTCTGGGCCACCACGACAGTTTATAGCGTGCGGCGCGTCGCGTTCCGCGCGCGCCTCAAAGAGCCATCAGACCACCACGGATGGGGCCCAATAGGGCTGATTTCGATACGGAGCCGCGGAAGACTTAACGGGTTACCAGGGCAGTAGGAATGGGGTAGTTTTTAGTCAGTAAGAGTCTGATACTCCCTCCCGCTTCACCTAAGCGAGAGATTGATGATTTTCCCCCCTTAAAAACGTATTAATTGCACTTCAAACCTTCAAGAAAAGAGCGTATTCCTTTTTAAAAGGCCGGCAACGCACCTGTGACTCCTCTGGTGTTGCGGGTGTCCATGGGCGGCGCTGATCGCTTACCATCAGGTGATCAGTCTGCTCGTTTGCCTGCAATACCATAAAAAAAAAACTAGCACTTTCATGCATGAGAAACGGGCGTCTTAGACCCCCAGGCCCCCGGACCCGGGTACGTCCTAAAACTGCGACCAGACACCGAGGAATGGGCTGCAGCATTCCATAAATATATCGGTGACCTAACTGCGATCCCCAAGCCGCCTGCCAAGCGTGGGGATTATGGCAAACCCCCCCCCCCCCCTCACTATGAACGACAACCTAAATACACGGCCCCCAGTCCCCGGCAGCTCCGCTATTCCTGATCTTGGTAGCGGATCGGGTAACGGCGGAGCAGGGGGTGCTAAGAATCCCCGGCAGATGAACCGCTACCACCCCCGACGAACTTTGGCCCTGGCAACACATAACATCCGCACCCTGCGGACCGATGAGAAGATTGTCGAGCTGGAGGAAGAATTGAGCAAAATGCGGTGGGACATCTTGGGACTGTCTGAAATCCGAAGAGAGGGCCAGGATACGATGGTCCTGGATTCCGGCAACTTGCTCTTCTTCCGGGAAGGAGATCAAAAATCCCAGGGTGGTGTCGGATTTCTCGTCCGCAAGTCCCTCGTCAACAACGTGAGTAAAGTTGACAGTGTGTCGAGCAGGGTAGCGTACCTTATACTCAGAATATCACACCGGTATTCGCTGAAGGTCATACAGGTATATGCGCCGACCTCGACACACTGCGATGATGAAGTAGAGGCTCTGTATGAGGAAATTTCCCAAGCCATACACACCTCCGAAGCACACTTCACCGTTGTCATGGGGGATTTCAACGCGAAGGTGGGCACACGGAACGGCGAAGAGCTGAGAATGGGGCCATTTGGATATGGGCAGCGAAACCGTCGGGGCCAGCGGCTGGTCGACTTTATGGAGAGGGAGAGACTCTTTTTAATGAACTCCTTCTTCCGAAAGCGACCAGCTAAGAGGTGGACGTGGATAAGTCCCGATGGTTACACCAAAAAATGAGATCGACTTCATCATGGCGACCGACAAGCGCATATTCAGTGATGTCTCTGTGATAGCTAAGGTGAAAACCGGCAGCGATCACCGTATTGTCAGAGGCACACTGAATATCAATGTCAAGCTGGAGAGGTCACGCCTGGTGAGGTCCACACTCCGTCCTGGTCGCGCCCAGGTCCAGAACCCCGAACAGTTCCAGCTCCAACTGCATAATCGCTTCCAGTGCCTGGCTGAGTGTGAAACGATTGACGAGTTAAATAATGGGTTAGTGGAAACTGTCCAAACGGTGGGCTCAGAGTTTTTCAAAAACCCACGCCGAAATAGACCTCAAAAGCTCTCGAAAGAAACACTTAAATTATTGAAAGACCGACACGAGATGAGGCTGCAGTCTTCAGTTGACATGTCTGGATATGGCAAACTTAATAGGCGAATTTCAAAGTCTATGCGACGCGACCTGCGTGCATATAACGCCGCACGAGTCAGGGATGCCATAGAGCGAAATCAGGGCGCAAAAGTATTCGCAAGGAATTCGTCTGTTGGGCAAAGCCAAATGACGACTGAAGACCGAAAATGGCAGCATCGTTTCGTCGAAGCCAGAGATTCTGAGAGAGCTTGAAAGGTTCTACGGACAGTTATACACCTCGACACGGCAACCCATTGTCGGTACAGCTCGGGATCCTAGAGCTAAACTGACACGGCACTATACCGAGGATATCCCAGACATCAGCCTGTATGAGATTAGGATGGCTCTCAGACAGCTCAAAAATAACAAGGCACCGGTGATGACGGAATCACAACAGAACTTCTGCGAGCGGGTGGAAAACCGATACTTTTAGTCCTCCAGAAACTATTCAATTCCGTCATTCTCGAAGGAACTACGCCGAAAGCATGGCAAAGGAGTGTAGTGGTTCTGTTCTTCAAGAAGGGTGACAACTCTTTGTTGAAGAACTATAGACCCATCTCGCTTCTGAGCCATGTATATAAGCTGTTTTCTAGGGTTATCACGAACCGTCTGGAACGCAGGTTTGATGACTTCCAGCCTCCCGAACAAGCCGGGTTCCGGAAAGGCTTTAGCACCATAGACCACATTCATACGCTGCGGCAAGTTATACAGAAGACTGAGGAGTATAACTTGCCACTATGCTTGGCGTTTGTGGACTATGAAAAAGCCTTTGATTCGATCGAGACCTGGGCGGTGCTGCAGTCTCTCCAGCGATGCCATATCGACTACAGATATATCGAGGTGCTAAAGTGTTTGTATAGAAACGCCACCATGCGCATCCGACTCCAGGAAGATAGCACGGAACCAATCCAATTGCAGAAAGGCGTGAGACAGGGAGACGTGATTTCTCCGAAACTGTTCACCAACGCATTGGAGGACGTTTTCAAGCTTTTAAACTGGAGTGGACTGGGCATCAATATCAATGGCGAATACATCACACACCTCCGCTTCGCCGATGATGTAGTCATCATGGCGGAGTCGCTGGAGGATTTAAACACCATGCTCAGCGACCTCGATATCGTCTCCCAACAGGTGGGTCTTAAAATGAACATGGACAAGACCAAAATCATGTCAAACGTCCATGTTGCACCTGTACCGGTCATCGTTGGGAACGATATCCTCGAAGTTGTAGACCACTACACATACTTAGGGCAGATTATACAGCTAGGTAGGTCCAATTTCGACAAAGAGGTCGCCCGAAGAATCCAACTTGGATGGGCAGCGTTCGGGAAGTTACGCGAAATCTTCTCATCGAAAATCCCTCAGTGCCTAAAGACCAGGATGTTCAACCAGTGTGTGTTGCCGGTGATGACGTATGGTACCGAGACGTGGTCCCTGACCTCTGGCCTTCTGGAGAAGCTCAAAGTCGCTCAGCGTGCGATGGAGAGAGCTATGCTCGGGGTTTCTTTGCGCGACAAAGTCCGAAATATGGAGATTCGCCAAAGAACAAGAGTTACCGACATAGCTCGCAAAATCTGCAGACTGAAGTGGCAAATGTGGCAATGGGCAGGCCACGTCGCTCGAAGGACTGACGGCAGATGGGCCAGGAAAGTCCTTGAGTGGAGACCACGGACCGGAAGACGAAGCGTGGGCAGACCTCCCGCTAGGTGGACCGACGACATCGCCAGAGTTGCGGGGAGCCAGTGGATGCGGGTGGCGAGTTGTCGTTCGACGTGGAGGGCTAAGGGGGAGGCCTTTGTCCAGCAGTGGACGTCTTCCGGCTGTTGATGATGATGATGAGACCCCCAGGCGATCACGACATACAATACTGATGAACTCGTATTTTTATTTTTTTTTTTGTACACAGATGGGCACGAATATCGTATCTACGGTTGTTTCTCAAACATCGAATGGTTTCAAAGTGACCATGAAGGACGCGGAATCGAACGCTGAGCTCGGCGAAGGGGAGCTGTCCCGTTGGCTGCCCACTATTGAATATGCTGTTGGTAAGTAAATTATCCTTACTAATTATTACTAATTATTTGATTTGTCCAGTCCAGCCGCATCTGGATTGCGTCATATTAAAGTATATTGTCAATGTCATTGAGGCAAATGTCAAAGTAAAGATACTGTCCATAGTGATGCGTCCAACATTGTTTTTTAATGTAATTATATTTATTTTCACTATGTGGTATTGTTATTAATATGTATGTATAATGTAATTTTGTTCTTGTTATTATTTTAATTATTTATTTTGTATCCATTTATTTAGATTTTTGGCAGTAATCGTTGCTGTTGATTTTGTTTTCATTTTTATATTAATTTATTATATACATCATGCTGTGCTCCGAACAGCGTTTCCGTAGGTGTATAACTAGTACGTACAATAGCAGGCTGGTGCTGGACATCAGCGCCGTGGGCTCGAGCCTCTGTGGCCGGTCCACGGTATTAAACTGAGCTCCAGCCTTTTGCGCTGCGACGCACCATAGCCTTTTTTTTCTTTCTTTCTTTCTTTAATTCCTTACTAATATTATAAATCGGAAAGTGAGTTTGTTTGTTTGTTCCGGTTTCACGCCGTAACTACTAAACCGATTGCTTTGAAATTTTGCAGACGTAAAGTTAGAAGTCCGGATTAAATAATAGGGTACTTTTTATACCGGAAAATTGATATTTCCGAGGGAAAACAAAAGAATAGGTATAGATGGCGCTGTGTGTATTGGTATATGTCACATAGGCTACTTTTTATCCTTTTGTGACGCGAGCGAAGCTACGGGTAAAAGCTAGTATCATTATAATAACTATCGTGAGACATATTAAATTAACTAAAAATTATGGGTTACATAACATACATAATATCAGGTAGGCATAGAGGTGCACATTACGGCACTTAATGCCACTGTAGAATGTAACACCCACTTATCACTATTTATGTTATGAGTCCCATGTAATAAGGGTTGAGCTTATTATTAAAAATCGCGGGTTACTGTCGCGCGAAAAAAGCTGTTCTTGGTTCGAACCACTGAGGGCTCTTCCTCACGAGCCGGCTAACATTTACTATTTATTTTACGAGACCCATGACATGTAATATGAGATGAGCCTGATGCCATATACCAGGATTTCCAGACTCCTTGCTACTGCCGAGATTTTTTTAAAAAAAGGTCCGTAATACTTTCCCCGACCCGGAAATCGAACCCGAGACCCATTGCCGAGTCGCGAACAAGGCAGGACACAAGAAAAAAACAGCATATAAAATTATAACTTGTGACCGCTACTACAACCTCTTGTTACTTCTGGACAAATCAAAAAATGTAAAATTAGTTTAAGTATTTATTTCTGTACAAGTGATTTGTAATCTTTTAGAAACTAGCTTCTGCCCGCGACTGCGTACGCGTACCATCCCATTTTTTCCCGTCCCCGTTCGTGATTTTCGGAAAAAAGTAAAAAAAAAAAATTGGTTAAAAAGTATCCTATGTCGGTCTCCTGGCTCTAAGCCACCTCCCTACCAATTTTCAGCCAAATATATTCTGCCATTCTTGAGTTATAAGTGGTGTAACTAACACGGCTTTCTTTTATATATATAGATAAATGAATTCAAACCGTATATAAAATTCCTAACTTAGTAACATAACATAACATAACATCACGCCTTTTATCCCCGAAGGGGTAGGCAGAGGTGCACATAGAAGTAACACCCACTTTTCACTATTTATGTTATGAGTCCCATGTAATAGGGGGTGAGCCTATTGCCATATACCGAGACATATACTGAGATTTTTAAAAAACCCAGTAATACTTTGCCCGACCCGGGAATCGAACCCGAGACCCCTTGCCCGGCGGTCGCACTTGCGACCACTCGGCCAACGAGGCATCCTAACTTAGTAATGTTTCACTAATTTCAATATTTTCTACCCACAGCTCCGGCAGCGGTAGTAATACCGACAGTGCAACGGCCGGACCTCAAGAACAACTCCACAGTATTCTTAGTACACGTTACGAGTCTTGAGAAAGTGTTCGTTAGGCCAGCAGATGCGGATTCTGTACGTGCATACAACGAAATACTGCAGCGCGTATTTCTATGTGGAGAAAAATGTGAGTATTGTAACCTCTTAGATATAAATTTAAGTGTGAGAGAGCCGTGCTTCGGCACTTCTGGGCTGGCTCGACCAGATTCATACCACGGCTGAGTTTGAAAACCACAGTGAAACGACGCTTACGTTGTGTTTCGTTGTGTGAGTGAGGTTACCGGAGGCACAATTACACTCCTCCCTTCTTACCCATCCTCCACAATCCCCGAATCCTCAACAACCCCAAATCCCTAAAGGCCGGTAATGCACTTGTAACGCCTCTGATGTTCCGTGTGTCCATGGGCGACGCCGATTGCTTAACATCAGGTGATTCGTTTGCTCGTTTACCGGCTTGATACCTTAAAAAAATAATTTGGCTTACCTCGTTACGTGTTGCTCTTCCTCGCTCTCCCTCTTTCTCTATTTGTCCGTGTCTACCTTCGCTGTCCAATCACTCGTTCCCTTTCCCTTTCCTTATCAAACCAGTACCTAACCGTAACAGTAGTGTCGCGGAGAACCTAACGGGTTACCGGGGCTCCGGCTCGAAATGCAGGAGAAGGCACGGGGTCGTTTTTGGTCAGTAAGAGTCTGACACTCCCTTCCGCCTCATCCAGGCGGGAGCAGTAATTCGATGACTTTGCCCCTTAAAAAAAACCGTAACAGTAGTAACCTTCAAATTGAGCAAGTGTTGTAATTAATGCTCAAACCTTATTCGTACGAGGCCTTTGGTCAGTCCGTCAGTGGCCGTGGTAATTATAGGCTGTTTTTGATCGTGATGAATAAGATATTTTTATTCTCTTTCTCAGTCATACCGCTAAAGGAGCCGCCTCAGCGAGGTCAACTCATTATCGCTCAGTTTACGGACGGCAACCACTACCGAGCACTTGTTCAACGTACGAATGCGAAACAAAATAAATTTATGATCGAGTATGTCGAGTTTGGTGAGTAGTGTTTTTATTAAATATTTGTTGAGCTGACGTTTAACCAATACCTCGCTTGGTGCTAAGCGATGATGCGGTCTACGATGGAACACGTCGTCCCATAAGCAACCTATTCACTCGGGGCTTGAAGTAGGGTTGGCAACTTTTTTTTAGAAGAAATAGGGTATATCTGATTTTAAAGGAGATAAATAAAGAGTACGGACTTACAAAAACAGTACCTATCATTTATTTTATGCTTTTAAAACAATATTTTTTCGTACTTTTTGTGTCATCAGTCTAATTAAGCTCGATAGGTAGGTTATTGCTCAATGTCTATACTTCAATTTGGTCCAGTACTTTTCATAACAGAGTGCTTCAAAACTACAAAACACTGCACTAACATATTTTTGACATGATCACTTATGATACTTTCAAGCTTAAAAAAATCTTAGGACCACTGTAAATAGCGGGTTTAAAATTAAATAGCAGACTTTTTATTCTGATCATGGGTTTTTTTTTGCATATTATTACAGACTGGCACTAATTAAGTAAACATTGTGTAAAAAAGAGTATTTTAGCGTCCTCTATTAGTGTTATAGATTGTAGAGTACGCCTACATGATATACATAGATAGATAGGTTATAGAAACTGAGGACAATACTCTATTTTCGAGTATGGTTGGCAACCCTACCCTGAAGACACCCAGGTTATCAGGAAAAAGACTCTGGCAAAGAATTCCACTCCTTAGCAGTACGCACAAGGAAGAATTTGCTGGTAACATGTGGTCAACAGTCTAGTCTTTATATTGAGCTGTTCCAGGATTTACTTATTTTTTCGTTTGTCTAATGTCTGTATGGTATCAGTACCTACTAATACACTAACACATCCGTATATTGGCCTGACTCGCTGGCCGAGTGGTCGCAAGTGCGACTGCCGGGCAAGGGGTCTCGGGTTCGATTCCCGGGTCGGGCAAAGTATTACTGGGTATTTAAAAAATACTCAGTAGTAGCACGGAGTCTGGAATTGTGCCCGGTATATGGCAATAGGCTCACCCCCTCTTACATGGGACTCATAACATAAATAGTGAAAAGTAGGTGTTACAGTGTATAGTGGCATAATGTACACCTCTGCCTACCCCTTCGGGGATAAAAGGCGTGATGTTATGTTATATTATGTTATGTTATGTTTAAAAAAAAACTATAAAACACTGCACTAAAGTATTTTTGAAATAATCACTTATGATACTTTCAAGCTTAAAAAGTCTTTGAACCACTGTAAATAGCAGGATTATGATTAAATAGCAGACTTTTTATTCTGATCATGGGTTTTTTTGCATATTATTACAGACTGGCACTAGTTAAGTAAACATTGTGTTAAAAAGAGTATTTTAGCGTCCTCTATTAGTTTTATAGATTGTAGAGTATGCCTACATGATATCCGTCCAGTTTATATAGAATTTTGACATGAGCTCTCTCTCATCTTTAGTAAGAAAATCTACAGATAGATAGGTTATAGAAACTGGACGATAGAGGACAATACTCTATTTTCGAGTATGGTTGGCAACCCTACCCTGAAGACACCCAGGTTATCAGGAAAAAGACTCTGGCAAAGAATTCCACTCCTTAGCAGTACGCACAAGCAAGAATTTGCTGGTAACATGTGGTCGACAGTCTAGCCTTTATATTGAGCTGTTCCAGGATTTACTTATTTGTTCGTCTGTCTAATGTCTGTATAGTATCAGTACCTACTAATACACTAACACATCCGTATATTGGCCTGCCTCGTTGTCCGAGTGGTCGCAAGTGCGACTGCCAGGCAAGGGGTCTCGGGTTCGATTCCCGGGTCGGGCAAAGTAATAAGGGTTTTTAAAAAAAAAATCTCAGTAGTAGCACGGAGTCTGGAATTGTGCCCGGTATATGGCAATAGGCTCACCCCCTGTTACATGGGACTCGTAACATAAATAGTAAAAAGTGGGTGTTACATTGTACAAAGTCAAAGTCAAAGTCAAAATCATTTATTTCAATTAGGCCAGAATGGCACTTTTGAACGTCAACAAAAAAAAATTTAAATTGAAGCTATTTGCTCATTCCAAGGATTCCAATGGAGAAGAACGAGCAAGAAACTCCATAGGTTACTTTTTCATCAGGTTCACAAAACAATTTACTAGTTACAAAGTTTTGTTGTTTGGGTTGTGCGAGAACAATGTAACACTAAAATCCAGTCAAAGTGATCAAAAAAGAAAATAACCTTAAGGACAATTACAGTGACATAATGTACACCTCTGGCTACCCCTTCGGTGATAAAAGGCGTGATGTAATGTATGTACATCCGTACATGTCAGTTGTTTTTTAGCATGTGAATATGGTTTTTTCTTTATATAAATTTTAATGTGTAATATTTGTTATGAATTTGTTTAACAGGAAACGTGGAAGTCAACAAGATGGAGACGCTGTACTACTGTCCAGAAAACCTCAATTTAGACAACATACCGCCTGTGGTGTCCATGGTGAAGATATCCTCGGAAACTCTGCAGCCAGCCGCCACCGCAGCTATTGACCAGCTAAAAGAGGAAGTGGAATTGATTTTGGTAAGTCATCCTTAGGTACTATTATAAATGGGAAAGTGAGTTTGTTTGTTTGTTTGTTTGTTCCGCTTTCACGCCGTAACTTCTAAACCGATTGCTTTGAATGTTTGCAGGCGTAAAGTTAGAAGTCCGGAATAAATAGTAGGGTACTTTTTATCCCGAAAAATTTTGATATTCCCGAGGGAAAACTATAGTCTACTTTTATGCTTTTGTGACGCGAGCGAAGCCGCGGGTAAAAGCTAAAGCTGTTAAATTGGATCTCAACATAATCATTTGTATTAAATATCTGTGGTCATAATAGAATATAAGTGCATTCCTGTATTGTCTATGATTATTAAAAAAGAATATATTGTTTTTGGTTCTGTTTCCGGATCTCGACTCCGTTGTTTTATTATAGGTTATGGGCCCAGTAATTCGTTATATTCTCGCAGAAAACTTGCCGATTAGTGCTGTATAAGTTTTAGCAGACTGAGAATAAGCTGTGCTGGTGAAAATGAGTACGAACTATGTTGTTAGTGTACCTAAGTTAAAAGGTCGTGAGAATTATGCAGAGTGGGCTTTCGCGGCGGAGAATTTTTTGGTGTTGGAAGGAACTTCTAATTGTATCATAGAAACTAAACCAACAGAAGCCGAAGCTGACGCGAAAACCAAGGCAAAATTGATCCTAACAATAGATTCGTCGTTGTATGTACATATAAAAGAAGTGAAAAGTACAAAGGAGTTGTGGGACAAACTCAAGCAATTATTTGATGATTCTGGATTCACAAGGCGAATCAGCTTGTTACGAACATTGATCTCGATTCGTCTGGAAAATTCTGCTTCCATGACCTCATATGTCACGCATGTGATTGAAACTAGTCAGAAATTAAGTGGAACAGGATTTAACATTAACGATGAGTGGGTCGGATCGTTGCTTTTGGCTGGGCTATCTGAAAAATACGCGCCAATGATTATGGCCATTGAACATTCTGGAATGAAGATAACAGCAGACGCCATTAAAACCAAGTTAATGGACTTGGAGGAAGACAGGGGCGACGTTAGCGGAAATAACGGAGCGTTTGCGAGTTTTCGCAACAGTAAGGTTGGCGCTACTGGAACCAAAGATTCAGATAATAGACAACTGTCAAAACCAAGGCGGAAAATAACCTGCTACCGGTGTAAACAAACGGGGCATTATCGAACTCAGTGCACTAATTTTAATAAAGATTCATCTGATAATAAAAGTAAAATACCTGAACGTAAACAAACGATTGCTTTTAGCGTCGTGTTTTTGAATGGCGAATTTTCGAAGAATGACTGGTATGTCGATTCGGGTGCGAGTGCTCATTTGACCGCCAATGAAAATTGGCTGAAGAACACCTCGACTGATCATTCTATTAAAGAGATTCTGGTTGCCAACAAAGAAAAGGTGATTGTCAAATGTTCAGGTGATGTGCAAATTGCTACAATTACAGATGATTGTGAATATGATGTGGTTGTTGAAAAAGTTTTATGTGTTCCCAGTTTAACCACCAATCTATTGTCAGTCAGTCAATTGATAGCAAGAGGCAATAAAGTATATTTTACTAGTGATGGTTGTCAAATTTACAATCAAGATGACAAGTTAGTTGCCACAGCTTGTTTGATAAATGGTGTCTACAAATTAAAAATGCCTGAAAGGTTCCTAGCTGCAGTGGCGATTCCAAGTGATATATGGCATCGACGGTTAGGTCATCTGAATAGTAGCTATTTGAATAAAATGCACAATGCAGTGGAAGGGCTCACACTCGACAGAAAGGCTAATATTTCGAAGTCGTCGTGCATAGTGTGTTGCGAAGGCAAATTGAATCGATTGCCTTTTCCACAGAATGGCAGTAGAAGTGATGATTTACTTCAGGTTGTTCACAGCGATATATGTGGGCCATTTAGCAATGTCTCTATTGGTGGTTCAAGATATTACATTTTATTTATAGATGACTACAGTCGAATGATGTCTATCTATTTCCTGAAAAATAAAAGTGAAGCCCTTGATTGTTTTAAAAATATAAAGCATCTGTTGAGAATCAACTAAATAAGAAAATTAAGAAGCTGCGTACTGACAATGGAATGGAATATTGTAATAAAAAGTTTGAAGAATATCTCAGCAATGCTGGAATTGGTCATCAAAAGAGCAATCCTTACACCCCAGAACAAAATGGCTTGGCTGAACGCAGTAATCGTACAGTGGTGGAAAAGGCAAGATGCCTATTGTTTGATGCTGGTTTGAATAAAAGTTTTTGGGCTGAAGCAGCACATACTGCTGTTTATCTTCAGAATAGAACAGTAGCAACAGCTTTAAATGAGAAGACACCATATGAGATGTGGACAAAGAAGAAGCCAGACATAAGTCATTTGAGAGTTTTTGGAAGTATAGTGATGATGCATGTTCCTAAAGAAAAAAGGTTGAAGTGGGACAAGAAGGCTGAAAAAGGAATACTAGTTGGTTATCCAGAGGATGTAAAAGGTTATCGAATTTACAATCCAGAAACAAAAGGAGTTACAACCAGCCGTGATGTAATCATTATTGAAAAACCTAGACAGGCAGAAAGTCCAGTGCAAATCGAAGAGAAAATACATTCAAACACTGAACCAAAGGCTGAATGCTCTGAAGTATTTCTAGATTCAGTGGGGGACATATCATATGAATCTGAAAGTAAAGATTATCATGATAGTGATGAAACTTACATCCCTGATGAAGATGATTGCTCCAGTAGTGGTGAAAGTGAAGTGAGTGTTGTTAAAAAGGATTTGTGTAGGCGCAGGCAGCCACCAAATAGGTATGGTTTTTCAAATGTTTGTTTGGAAAGTGCTAGTTCAATAGATGATAGTGAACTGTCATTGGAAGATGCGTTAAATGGACCTGAGAAAGAACAGTGGTTAGAGGCAGTGAAAGATGAGTTACAGTGCTTTGAAGACAATAATGCGTGGGAACTTTCTGAGGTACCTGTTAATAGTACTATTGTTCAGTCTAGATGGGTTTTGCGTAAGAAGTTTGATAGCGAAAATAGGGTAAGGTTTCGTGCCAGATTAGTAGCTAAAGGCTTTTCTCAAAAACAAGGTATAGATTATACAGAGACCTTCTCGCCTGTTGTTAGGCACACAACCCTACGTTTATTATTTTCACTATCAGTGCAATTGGGGCTCCATGTAACACATCTTGATGTGAAAACTGCTTTTCTCAATGGTGACCTAGAGGAAACCATATATATGTATAAACCAGATTGTTATAATATTCCAGGTAGTAATAATAAAGTGTTAAAACTTAAGAAAGCCATTTATGGTTTGAAGCAGGCCTCTAGGGCCTGGAATGAGAAATTAGATAGGTGTTTGCTTGAAAGTGGTTACAAGAAATCTAAACTTGAACCGTGTATTTATACAAGGAACATTGATAATCATAAAACTATTGTTGCAGTTTATGTTGATGATTTTTTTATTTTTAGTAATGATGACAAGGAATGTTTAGACCTTAAGAATACATTGTCAAATAAGTTTACAATAAAAGACCTAGGACAAGTGAAACAATGTCTGGGAGTGAATATAAAGTTTGATGAGTCTGAAGGTTCTGTAACCTTAAGTCAAGAAAATTATATTGATAGTTTGTTACATAAATTTAACTTGATAGATTGTAAGACTTGTGATACTCCAATGGAGACTAAGCTTAATGTAAACATAGGTCAGAATGTAAATGATAAAGTGCCATTTAGACAGCTTATAGGTAGCCTAATGTATTTATCAGTTTTAACTAGACCAGACATAACCTATGCTGTCAGTTATCTTAGTCAGTTTAATAATAGTCACACAGATGAGCATTGGGGTTATGCCAAGAGAATATTAAAATATTTAAAAAAAACTAAATCATATGGCATTAAATATTGTAGAAATGGTAATTCTGTAATAAAAGGTTTTGTGGATGCTGATTGGGCAAGTAATACTATAGATAGAAGATCTTACACTGGATTTTGTTTCTTGTTATCAAATGGTGTAATTTCTTGGGAGTGTAAGAAACAAAAAACAGTAGCTCTATCTAGTTGTGAGGCTGAGTATATGGGGATTTCAGAAGCTTGTAAAGAAGCCATATATTTAAGAGCATTGCAGTTTGAAATAACAGATAAAATGTACACTTTGGATTTATATAATGACAATCAGAGTGCACAAAAACTGTCGAGAAATCCTGTGCTACATAAGCAATCAAAACATATTGACGTAAAGTGTCATTTTGCTCGAGAGTGTGTATCAAATAATATTGTAAAATTACATTATTTGCCGACAGATAACATGCCTGCTGATTTGCTAACCAAAAGTTTATGTTCAAAGAAACATTATATGTTCATGAAAATGTTAGGTGTGGTTAGTGTATAATTGATTGTTTTGTTAAAATCGTACTTGTTGTGTTTCTGTGATTATTTGAGATAGTGGGGGTGTTAAATTGGATCTCAACATAATCATTTGTATTAAATATCTGTGGTCATAATAGAATATAAGTGCATTCCTGTATTGTCTATGATTATTAAAAAAGAATATATTGTTTTTGGTTCTGTTTCCGGATCTCGACTCCGTTGTTTTATTATAAAAGCTAACATCGCCTCCTCCTCATCCTCAAATCTCTGACCCTTGGAAGGTCGCCAACGTAGTTGAAACTCCTCTGGTGTTTCGGGTGTCCATTGGCAGCATAGATTGCTTACCATCAGGTGATTTTACTGTTCAGTCGCCTTATCCTACTTTATTCCATAAAAATATATTATATACGTCTAACCACGTGTAGTTCTTCAGTATTATTATGGTTGTTCTTTTTAAAAGTTATTATAAAAAGAACAACCATTAGATCATAACTCTGTATAATTAACCTTAACTAGCTATAATTAGTCATTTATGCTCATTGTAAGTGAACCATGTTCTTTATGAGTAAAAAACAATCATCATTACTTTGTTTTCGGAAAGTGTTCTTGCTTAGTAATTAAAATATCAATTGACGCCATAGGTACTGATGGATATATGTTCATGTCCCAAGTGTGCCGTGAAATGGGACCAGTTCAGCATGTGCAAGACAGGGCCTTGCGCTGGTATTCAACTGATATAATGACTATATTGACTGTACGGTTGTTGCGTTGGATGGGCAACCGGCTGCCGTGCAACGTGTCGTGGGTTCGATTCCCGCACGGAACAACACTTTGTGTGATCCACAAATTATTGTTTCGGGTCTGGGTGTCATGTGTATGTGAACTTGTATGTTTGTAAACGCACCCACGACACAGGAGAAAATCCTAATGTGGGGCAACGTTATACTAAAAAATAAAAATTAAATATTTTTTTTATGACATAAACAATCGATGCCTCTCATGGACACCTAAAACACCAGAGGCGTTACAAGTGCGTTACCGGCCCTTTGGGAATTGGAAATTTGAGGATTGTGGAGGATTCGGGAATCAGGTAGATTGGGGAGATAATTGGGCCTCCGGTAATATTATTCACACGGTGGTATTCAGCTCGGCCGTGGTATCACTCCGGTCGGGCCGGCCTATTCGTGCAGAAGCATGACTCTCCCACACGTAAATATAACACGAAAGAATTATTATTATTATTTATTTATTGATTTGTCTTTAAATCACACAGTTAACTCGTTGAGTACCGTCATTATAGACACAATTAAAGAAGAATAGGTTGCGGTCACCGGTGTCCTCACGGTGTTTGACAGTTTAAGTATGTTATAATTTCAGCCCCACAAAACCGTTGCAATGGGTTGACTGTGAGGTCGAGTCACTAGGCATTACAATTAAATGTACTTATAAATATTATACAGGTGTAACTAAACTTATATAGAATTTAAGACATTTCTAGGTAATAGGACATTAATTTCGACTGCACGGTTGGTGCGGTGGCTGGGCAACCGGCTGCCGTGCAACGTGTCGCGGGTTCGATTCCCGCACGGAACAACACTTTGTGTGATCCACAAATTGCTGTTTCCGGTCTGGGTGTCATGTGTATGTGAACTTGTATGTCTGTCAACACACCCACGACAGGACATGAGATAATCCTACTGTGGGGCAACGTTTTTAAAAAAATAAACAAAAAGAAGAATTTACGTTAAAACCTATTTGAATATAATAATAAAATAATAGATTTAATAGATTTTTACTCCCGTAACTAATACAATTCTTGTCTTTCTCCCCACAGACGTTAAACGATAAGACGCCAACAGCGCCAAGTGGAAGCCAAGTAACGCTAACCAGAGCCGACACTCAGGTCAACATCAATGAACTGCTGGAGGAACTCTGTACTCCAGAATGGAAGAAGATCGAGAAGAAGGGCGAGGATATCATCAGTAAGTTGTACTTCGTATTGTACTAGCTTCGCCCAGTGGCTTCGCCTGCGTTCCCTTTAAATAAAATGTACCTCATGTGTTCTTGCAGACCATATTCTTATTCAGTTTCGAATTTAATTATCAGTATACATAATAATAATATATGACTGCTTCGTTGGCCGAGTAGTCGTAAGTGCAACTGCCGGGCAAGGGGTCTCGGGTTTGATTCCCGGGTCGGACAAACTATTACTGGGTTTTTAAAATATTCTCAGTAGTAGCACGGAGTCTGGAAATGTGCACGGTATATGGCAATAGGCTCACCCCCTATTACATGGAACTCATAACATAAATAGTGAAAGGTGGGTGTTTCATTGTACAGTGGTATAATGTGCACCTCCGGCTAGCCCTTCGGCGATAATAGGCTTGATGTTATGTAGATCGAAAAAGAAAACAACATTAAGAGCCGATTTTTCAATCACTAGATTTATCAATTTTATTCTTTTAACGTCATTAACAATTAACCGTAGAATAAAATTGATATTTGATAGTTTTTAATATTCAAAGTTATTCCTCAGTTAAGAATTTACTAACAATTGATAAGTCGGCCCTGAGGGCAATAAATAACACAATCTGGAGCTGACCATATAGTAAAAAATAGTCATGTACCCAATTCTTAAATGTCATTTTGATACCATATATACCGTATAAAAATCACATCGCCGCGACCGCGCACGCTGCACATGAGGAAGAACCCCTCTGTGGTTCGAAACTAATAGAGCTTTTCTCAGTATATTCACGTGGGTAACCCGCCATTTTTACCATATATCTCTTTACAGACAAAGTGTACTTAACAATGGACGACCTGGAGATCTCGGAGCTCCCTCCAGGTGGCTGCACGGTGACAGTGCTGGACACGAGCATGTTGAGTGGCGGCGTCGTCTGCGGGTACGACAGCGCGTCGCCATTCGCTCGGCTAGTGCACGTGGAACTGGCGAAGAAGGTAATCTACAACATGTAACTTAAATAACGCACATCCTGAAAATAGTTTGTTCAGAATCGTTAACTGAATCGATTTATATAATTTTGACGTGACAACGTCTTATAAATTGGTTTGCCGGGTGACACTTCAAGAAACTGCGTTACGCTCCGCTCACGTTATGCGCTCACAATGAGAGCGAGTGAGAGGCACGCGTCCCTTCCACTCGGGCATGGTTAGCCCGCCTAAGAGCGAGAGAAACAGACATAATATTTTACCACTCACAGTCGTTGTCACGTAAAACTTTCGCCCGTATACCGACTTTACAGGCAACCAAGTTTTTTTTACTATAGTATTAGAAAACTTAAAAACTGTCATAGAGCTCACCCAACTCCTTGACAATAGAAACTTATTGGTTTCAAACCACATTAGGTTTTAGAAACTCAGGAGGCAGGAAAAGTAAAGAGTACCACCATTACAATGCACCTTATATTGTTAACATCGAAATCAAATTACAAAATCAGGACTAGCTAAACCATAACTATTAATTGGAAAGAAAAACAACGACAACACATAAATAGGCAAATTGACTTTCAAATATAATAAAATTCCCTCAACACCAAATACGCCGTCTCAATAACTTCTGAGTTCCCGCCATCTTGACTTTTTCATTGTTCGAACCACAGATTATATTTTCCCGCTACGCGATGACATTTCGTTTCTTTTTGTCTATGCTTCTAACAATAGGTAAATTTTTATTCCAAAAATAATTAAAACTACGGAAATTATTGTCATATTAACCCTGTATTGTTAAAACAAATCGAAATGGACCGTAAGTCAAAGCAATAAGACTTTTAAAATCGCGGTTTTATTTGTATTCTTACAAATTCTATCATTCAATACAAAATAAAGAAAAATAAACCTTATGACAAGACAAGTAAGGATGCATATACATGTTAAATTAAAAATGTAGTGTATGTATTATGATTATAACATAATATTGTAATTGGGGTGTTTGAGGGTGTGCGTTAATTATGTTACGTGGTGTAATTGGCTAGTTTCTTAGGTTTAAAATAAATTGTTTGAACATTCCAATGCAATAAATAATTAAAAATAATCATACTCTCATCCATTGATTTGACAATTTACCTACTTTTGGATTTTTTCTCGCAAATTTTAAGGAAATACGTATGCTGTTTGACGCAGAAATATGATGACGTCATAAGTTGCGATCCAATACAAAATTCATAGAAATGTATCGTTTTAGACATTTCAATAAAAGTATTGAATTTGATTACCTGTCAACTACCGTATTATCTATACACTAACTTGCTTTCAACGTAGTTTCACCCTCTCTGCTCGGCTCCTATTGGTCATATCGTAATGTTTGAAAGCACATTGCCTTTGTAAATTAACTATACAACACAAAATGTAATTTCTTTAATTGTGTACTTGCCAACTAGTTAAATTCAATACTTTTGTCGAACTGTGAAAAACGACACTTTTCTATGAATTTCGTACGAGATTGTGTATCGTGACGTCACGTTTCTTTAGCGTCAAACAGCATAGAATAACTACAATAACCTATACGCAGAGCATTTTTATCTTTATACAGTTATAAAAAACGATGTTTGTACTTATTTAAAAAAAAAAATGCTGGAAAAATACTTCAATTAAGTTGGTCATAAAGTCAATTATTGAAAGTGTGATTATTTTTTAATATTTTATTGTATTGAACAGTCAAAACAATTTATTTTTGATTAAAGAAAGTACCCAATCGTCCGAACATGATCGTGTACTAATAAATAATTTTGTCGTAGATGGCTGAGTACTGCGACAGTGATCTAGGCAGGGAACCATACTTGCCAAGGGCTGAGGAGCTCTGCATCGCTAAAATGCCGCCATGTGAGTATACATTTATATATAAACACTAGCGGACCCAACAGACGTTGTCCTGCATATCCACTTGAATGTACCTATAAACAAAAATTCATTCAAATTAGTTCAGCTGTTTAGGATAAATAACCTAAACATCGACCGCAGCGCCATCTGCCGGGCTGATTTGTGAATCTAAACCATTCCCAGATCCCCTTGAACACACAAAAAATTTCAAAATAGGTTCAGTCGTTTGAGAGAAGTTCAGTGACGTACACACTCACAGAAGAATTATATAGTGTGGTATTTGTACCTCACTGGCCCCACCTCTCAGCACCTATTAGAGGCGGTGTGTCCCCTGAAAGAGATCTGCTCCGGAGCGACCACAGTACAACGACTGTTACGGCACATCCCTAGGGAAAGTCCACTGTACTAGGAACTTAATGATACCAACCCTCGAACGCACAGATCTCTGTGATATTTTCCTAGTACAAAGGTCAGCGTTTCAATTTTGTTCTACGACTTGTAGCAAAATAATCTATATAATAAAAATATATTACATCATATTCTCGTTAATTAAAAATCGCAGGTTACTCACGTAAATATACTAAGAAAAGCTCTACTACAACGCAAGCGTCTACGCCAGTAGGCTGCGCGACATCGCCGCGAACGCGCACGCTGCTCATGAGGAAAAACCCCTCTGTGGTTCGAAACTAGTAGAACTTTTCTACAAGTAAATCAAACTACCCTACCCTAAAAAGTACCCTTAACCGACGAGCATGCATGAAAAGATTGATGACTGTTAATGAAGCGAAAGAGGTATGTAAGAATCGTAGTAATTGGCGTTCCTTAGTCTCTGCCTACCCCCATGGGAGACAGGAGTGAAGTTATGTATGTATGTATGTATGTAAATCAAACTTACTAAATTGTACAATTTGTTCCACAGACCCCCAGTGGTTCCGTGCGATATTCCTCTCACAGTCCGAGGGTCCGGGCAGCAATGAAGCTAGTGTATGCTACGTAGACTACGGTAATGTCGCCGATGTTCCAGTCAATATGATCAGGAAGATGATACCGGAGTTTGTGAAAGGATACCCTACGCTTGGACTCCATATTAATATCAGGGGTAAGTGTATGCAATGTCTCATCATCAACAGCCTATAAATGCCCACTGCTGAGCAAAGCCTCTTCTCACACGGAGAAGGTTAGAGCATTAATCAATGCTATGTCTGTATTTCATTTATTAACTAGCTTCTGCCAACGGCTTTGCCCGCGTTTCCAGGAGTAAAAAGTAGCCTATGTGTTACTTCAAACCATAATCTACATCAGTTCCAAATTTCATCCCGGTCTCTTCAGCCGTCGCTGCCGACTGCCGGGCAAGGGGTCTCGGGTTCGATTCCCGGGTCGGGCAAAGTATTACTGGGTTTGTAAAAACCTCAGTAGTAGCACGGAGTCTGGAATTGTGCCCGGTATATGGCAATAGGCTCAACCCCTATTACATGGGACTCATAACATAAATAGTGAAAAGTGGGTGTTACATTGTACAGTGGCATTAAGTGCCGTAATGTGCACCTCTGCGTACCCCTTCGGGGATAAAGTGATAATGTTATGTTAGTGATAAAAACTAAAACAATTTCTCCCACAGGTTTCCCGGAGCCCACGGACGAGGCCCTCATGAAGGCTCTCGGCCACATGGAAATCGACGATGAAGGTCGAGGCACGCTGAAAGTCATCAACTGTCTCTACCGCGCCGACGATGGTACGTACGAAGTAGACGCCCCAGAATTAATTGCCGCTATGTATAAGTAGATTTTGTATAAAAAAAACATTATGACTTCAGTCAACGTATACAGATATACAATTAGACCACTTAACATTCTATTGAGTATGCTCAAAAATGTACTAATAACGTCTCTCCATTCGCAAGCATGCCTGAAATGAGCATGCTAATTTTAATCAACATTCCGACACACTATGTAGTGACAAGTGCTCAGTAGGGTAGTAGACTACACAGGGTATGAAAATTAAAAATGTAATTAGTCCGTCAGTTAGGTAATAAAAAAATATAGTTGAGAGTTTAATTTTCATACCCTGTCATCATCCCTATTAATGGCAGTCTAATGCCGGAATACTGAAACCGTTACTCAATTTTAAGTCCTGCTCAAATATCGTGCCATCTCTGTCATTTTACAAAGAATTTGTAGAGATAGAACTATACTTAAGCACGACTTAAAATTGAGTAGCGTTTTAGTATTCCGACATAAGTTTTGTGAAATCATCCGCCGATGTTTATATCTACGTTGACTGACGTCAGTTCACATATGAACCGATGCTAAAGAATATTTGTAAGGAGACATTAAACTTCACTGTTTCTTTTACATTATGTAGATACACTTTAGTGACTAAAATTTATAATTGGTCTAACATAAGACGCAAAGCATATAAAGTTATCCCATTTTGTCAAATATCTTTAGTAGATTTTCAACTGAAATTGCTTCGAAATGTATTAAAGAGATTAGTCAATGTTTTGTGCTTGTTGTAGTCTTTACGTACCTTATGTACGAATCTTTTTTACTTTTTGTATAAAAAAAAACATTGTATATAGAATAAAATGAAAAAAAAATTGTTAGTAATAAACAAAAAAAAAAAAAATGTTTAGTGTCGTACTTAGAAAATTATAAAACAAAATTGTCAAGTTTTTTTTTGTCAAAATTAAGAGAAAAATGTAAATTTTTAGATCATTGGCTTAAGATTAGATTGTTCACTCGGACAGAGAATTATTGGCTAATTTGATTTTTCAAAATTGTATTATAACACGGAATTTTGATCTTGTATATGGCAATATACACGCTCCTTTTAATATACCTAATGCCGGAATACTGAAACGTTACTCAATTTTAAGTCGTGCTTAAATATCGTGCCATCTCTGTCATTTTACAAAGAATTTGTAGAGATAGAACTATACTTAAGCACGACTTAAAATTGAGTAGCGTTTGAATATTCCGACATATGTTTACTAAGCTTACCTAGTGGCAACTCAGTTATCCAACTCGTTGTTTGCAACCAAGTCAATGCTAGTATTTGTTCTGCAGTCTTTCTATAGATATCAAAATTACGCGACTAATATGAATATAATAATATCCTTATTAAACTGTCAAACACCAAGCGGTCACCGGTGACCGCGACCTATTGTTCTTTAATTGTGTCTATAAAACCGGTACTCGACGAGTTAATCACGACCTTTTAACGTCAAAAGATGTCGTATTTAGTTATCTATTATATAAAAATAAGTCGGGTTTTCCTTCCAGCAGCTGTAGCCAAATGCCATTTACCGCTTGTCTACATTTAGAATAGAAAACCAAATTATATAGAACTAGCTTTTACCCGCTTCGCTATCAATACACACAGCGCCATCTATACCAGTACTTTAGTTTTCCCTCGGGAACTTTACGTCTGCAAAAATTTAAAGCAATCAGTTTAGTAGTTACGGCGTGAAAGCGGAACAAACAAATAAACTCACTTTCCGATTTATAATATTAGTAAGGATAAGGATTGACGTAAATTTTGACATTTGTCAGTGTCATCCCCATACATTTTGATTTCTATTCTCTCTGTAGACAAGCGCTGAAGTGGCGTTCGGCTAAAGGCATAGACTCAAATAACTCCAGAACGCTCGAACCGATTTCCACGGTTTTGCATTCGTTGGAAAGGTCTCGGGCTGTTACATAAACCGAAGCCATGTGCTAGAAGCGGAGATCGCCGGGTTTGCTAATTGTTTTATAAAAAAAAACTGATTTATATATGAGTTGTCTGTATGTTGCCATTGCCAGAACGAAACTGAAATCCGTGTATCTACATATTGTTTTTAATAGGTATCATGACAGAACTGTGTTATATATAATTATATAGTGGTATCATATTAGACACGTATTTCTTGTAAAATCTAAAGAATTAAAATCCTTTAAAAAATACGAAAAAGAAAAAATAAATCATCTTTAAGAAAAGAGCGTATTCTGTGACTCCTTGGTGTCCATGGGCGGTGCTGATCGCTTACCATCAGGTGATACGTCTGCTCGTTTGCCTCCTATTCCATAAAAAAAATACATGTCTAATATTTTTTTATGTCAATGTCATTTTTCTTAGACATAAGTGCTTACATTTGTAGTTAGATGAGTGTGCTTGCATTGGCTTCTCTATCTTGTTCTCTATAATATAATATAATTGATGAAAATGTTATTTTTAAAGCTCTACTTCGTTTAAGAATGATTCTATCACTACATGTTCTTTATAAAATGACCGAGGTAGCACTATTTGTTAATACAACTTCGGTACGTCTCAGTATTTGGGCTTTAGACACCATATTTTTCGACTAAGTCGTGCAACTAATAGTATATACTTGTATGGAGGGTATCTTACTTCTAGACTACACGGTTGGTGCGGTGGCTGGGCAACCGGCTGCCGTGCAATGTGTCGCGGTTTCGATTCCCGCACGGAACAACACTTTGTGTGATCCAAAAATTGTTGTTCCGAGTCTGGGTGTCATGTGTATATGAACTTGCATGTTTGTAAACGCACCCACGATACAGGAGAAAATCCTAGTGTAGGGCAAAGTTGTTAAAAAATAAAGAAAAATAAAAAAAAGATAGTTTAAACGCTAATCGAGTCAAGTGAATCGAAACATATACATTGACGGGAATTAATCGACCAATTATAATGAAGTTCATATTATAGCTACCGATTACTAGTTGACCCGGGTAACTTCTTACGCCTTTTACATACGTATTTGTACCTTAACGTACCGTACCGTACCTTGTACGTATTTTTTTCTCACCTTTTATACCTTCCCTGGACTCCTACCAACACCAAAATTCAGCCAAATCGGTTCCGCCATTTTCGAGTTTTACGGTTTGAATTCATTTATTTCTAAAAGATTACAAATCACTTGTACAGAAATAAATACGTACTTAAACTAATTTTACATTTTTTGATTTGTCCAGGAGTAACAAGAGGTTGTAATAGCGGTCACAATTTTAGGATTTTAACATTAACATAATAATTTATAACGACAAAGTAAGCAAACAAGTATATATGGAGGTATTCGTTAAAATATTTAATGACAAATATCTTACGGCCTACCGCCGTGCGCTGCATTGATGCGGCCCTCCGTGCGGTTCATTTGTAGGATCGGCTCACACACAGTTTTACAGTTTTACCGAAACTAACGAACGGAAATTAATTTTTATTTATAAAAGTAGATTGATATTCATATCCTCAAGCATTTGTGCTTTGTTCAACCAGCAGCTGTAGCCAAATGCCATTTAGCGCTTGTCTACATGTAGAATAGAAAACCAAATTATATGGAATTGACGTAAATTTTGACACTTGTCAGTGTCATCCCCATACATTTTGATTTCTACTCTCTCTGTAGACAAGCGCTAAAGTGGCGTTTGGCTAAAGGCCCTGCAGCTGTGGCCAAATGCCATTTAGCGCTTGTCTACATGTAGAATAGAAAACCAAATTATATGGAATTGACGTAAATTTTGACACTTGTCAGTGTCATCCCCATACATTTTGATTTCTACTCTCTCTGTAGACAAGCGCTAAAGTGGCGTTTGGCTAAAGGCCCTGCAGCTGTGGCCAAATGCCATTTAGCGCTTGTCTACATGTAATATAGAAAACCAAATTATATGGAATTGACGTAAATTTTGACACTTGTCAGTGTCATCCCCATACATTTTGATTTCTACTCTCTCTGTAGACAAGCGCTAAAGTGGCGTTTGGCTAAAGGTCCTACAGCTATGGCCAAATGCCATTTAGCGCTTGTCTACATGTAGAATAGAAAAACCAAATTATATGGAATTGACGTACATTTTGACACTTGTCAGTGTCATCCCCATACATTTTGATTTCTACTCTCTCTGTAGACAAGCGCTAAAGTGGCGTTTGGCTAAAGGCACTGGGGTCGACTTGAACACCGCAACTAGATGCCGGCAATCAAATCATGTCTACTAATTGTTCTGGCGTCGCTTTGTAGATACTGCGGTTGCACGACTAATCGTATGATCATGGTATCTTAATAGGATAAGGCTTTATCATTATCACTGTTTTTAAAATACATATTTTTCTTTGTATTACAAATCCCTAAATTTTTTGCGACGCATATCACAGTGTTACGAATTATAATTGTATCAACACTTCGTTCGTTTGTTTTATACAAAAATTAAAATGACAAGTCGTATTTTGAAATTGAAATGACAAGTCGTTCCTTATGGGACGACGTCCTCCATCGTAGGCCGCATCATCGCTTACCGCCAGGCGAGATAGTGGGCAAACGTCAACCCATCAAGTATATATGTCAAAAAAATGCTATAATTTTCAAACAGATTGTTTTACTAAACAGCTGAAAAAATTCTCGTGTTCATTTTGACGTTGCTATTTTTGAAAATAATTGTTGTGTATCGTTATGTGATATGTGGATTTATATAATCAAACAAAAAAAAAACAAAAAAAATTAAATAAACATACGGTTGAGAAAGGAGGAATATTTCACGCAAACGTTCTTAAAGTTGTAATTGCTTTACATCTTGACAAACTGTTTTGTTATGTATAGTGAATTTGTGACGGATCAACGAGTGTTGAATTTTTCTTTCATACTTTTTAATCTTATACAATTAATGAAGTTCTTTTATCGTTGCTCTTTGAAGGGTATTGTAGTCACGATTGTTTTTTCTTACATTTATGTTGCTACAATTAGTTATTGGTTCGTGGGTAGTTTTTTTTTAATTATGAGTGTTTCACGAATCCATTTT